TTAAGTGGGAGAACTTGCACAACTGGTGGCTGACTAAATACTTTTTTGCCCCACTGTATAGAGCTAGAACAGAACCAAAGCCCCTAACGTGATATCAAAGGAGTCATATCACAATTATTTAACTGAGCCCATAATGTTTTTTTTGCTTGATATATTATGTTCTATAGTAACACTGAAGTCAAAATATATGCCCAATGACAAAGTTCAGTCAGGAGAGTTAAATTCCTCATTATTATATGATAGCTACAATTTAGAGAAGAAAATCTAGGAGTTGGTCTTTCCTATAAAAATGCTTACATCATAGCCATTCTTTATTATATCTATTCATATGCATGGGAAAGTACAACTGGTAAAACAAGTTTCAGTTTAAAATTTAGTACAGCGATATATGTTTTTCAGAAAATATTAATTTATACTCTTCTAAAATGATTTGGAAGAAGTGCTTTAGGCCTCACATGAGTGTAGCATCTCTTTGTTAATCATTAAAGCGGTGTGACTTTTCAGATTTTTGAGTGAGCCTGAAAAAAAAAAGATGATGCTTTAAAGGAATAAACTCATTAAAATTAATGCAAGCATTTTTGAATGCTTGAAGTATTTTTTCTCAGGCTCATGCTGAAACCTGGGAAATATCCGGTTAATTTAATGAATAGTAGATAGGTACTATGCTTCCACAGGGTCCAAAGCACTTCTTAGGAATCTTTTCATAAGAAAAGCTAGAAAATATAGCTATATTTAGAGAGAAAAAAAGACATCTCTGTAGTTTAAAATTTAACTCCCTAAGAACTTCCAATATTTTTTCTGAACTTGGACATCACATAATTCAAACTTGTAACAATTCAGGACATTACAAATGATTTTGTGATATCTAACAATTAAATGTTTTTCAGGGGTGGGGGTAGGGAGAGAGCGAGCAGAGCACTTGCACACGCTCTTACCTGAAGCAATGCAATGAAAAGAAAAAAGGCATTAGCAGCTCTCCTGAACTGGGAATAGAGGAACCTTGGCAGGAATGTGATAACATTGTATTTTGCAGTGCTAAGAGACAGAAATTAAAAGCACATAATTAAGATAAAAAATATGTAATATTTGTAATCAGAATTAACTAAGCACTGTATACAGAGAGTATTTTAAGAGTTAATTCAGTATTTGTATGCCTAAATACATATAACTCCTAAGAGATTTGGAAACAAAATTGTAGAATTGCCATTAAATATTCAATATTTATTTTTGTTTCTTACTGTTTTGTAGTTTTACTTTTGGGGCCACAATTCAAAATATAAGAACAGTACAACAACTGGGTTGTAAAAATCTGTGACTGCCATAAGGCAGCAAACAGATAAAGAAAATAGCAAGAAAAAGCTCTTTTGATTTGCACTAAAAATATGTAAGGATACCAAACTATTTTTCCAACTCTCTGAAACCTCTTACAAGTCAGGGATTATAACATTTAAAACACTGTAAAGGTTCGTCATATTATTTTTTTCCAAGTATTCACCCATAATAAAAATTTAGTATGTTAACAAATTCTACCATATTTTTCCTAAACTCCAAAGAGAATACCATTACTATAAATTATTATAATTATATAATAATAATAATAATAAAAAATAATAATATAAGAGTCACTTGGTTGAGATGGGTGGCTATAGAAATTAAATAAATAAAATAATAATCATAGTGTAGAATTGCAAATATTAACAATAACTAGTAACAGATCAGAGATATACATGGGTGAGGTTTAGGGGCATAAATGACTAAAGCAACTTGATTTATTTATTATTTATATGTGATACCACACACACAACAGGTCAGAGCTTGTGCTGCAATTGTGCAACAGTGCTTTGCCTATGAATCAGAATATATAAGTTAATTATACAAAAAGTTAGTTACAAATACCTGACATGATTGCTACAGAATTTAGAGAATTGTGGCTGATTGATAAATATAGTTCTCACTTCCTCTTGATCAGCTAATGATGTCTTCTCTGAAACATCATCTGTCTTCTCATAACCTGTAAAATATTAGAAACTTAACATATACTTAATATGTACATTTAAATACTATGGTTATTCAAATAGAAAAAACTATTTTTAAACATAAGTAGTGAGAAATATTAAAAAAATGCTTTGTACATATTCTAGTACCATTTGTATTGATAAAATTAATTTTTTTAATTCCTATTTAGGATGATTTTATATTTCCCCACTTCATTATTGGCATGGTAGCTTTTTCAATTGCTCAAAGTATTTAAATTGAATATTTTGATTAAACAGAAATAAATTACATTTTAATGTTATTTATTTAATAATATTTATAGCCTGTAGTATACTCTGGGCAGGGACTTACTTATTTGTTAAAGTTTTATATGGTTGAATCTTGCAACTTATAGAGGTTTACAGTAGTAAAACACAAAAAATAATGTGCAGTTAAAACCAAAAATAAATGCCAAGATAACGAAAACCATTAAAATAAAAACAGTGACTGTAATTTTAGTTATGGATAGTCACCAATATTGAGTAACGATAGTTCCCAAAAGTCTTATAGAATACCTCAGTCTTGACTGTTCAGCAAAAAGAAGCTAAGAAGACTATTACACAGGGTGGAGACCACCAAAGATGAACACTGCCTCTAAGCCACTAATCTCATTTGTTGTGAATCAATAATACTCAACATTTTCAACTGCAATGAGCATGCTGAATTGATTGATTCTACCTGGAGAAGGTGGTCTTATAAGTACCTAGAAGCAAAACACTTAAGCAGTTTAAAAGTTAACACTAACATTTTGGATGGACTCTGAAATCTGCTGAAAGCCAGTACAATACCTGAAATATAGTTGTCACATGGCTATATTATAACTGTTCTTGCTTGCTAGCGCATAGACAGTTACATATTACATCAACTGTGGTTTCCAAGTAACCTACAAAGATAATCCCATGTAGATCACATTGCAATAGTCTATTTTGATGGTGATAAGACCTTGTGTTACTATCACCAGGTCCTCTTGCTCCAGAAAAGAGCTACAGCTGGAGTACCAACCAAAGTTAGGTGAAGGCCTCCGCAGTTATGGCTGCCACCTCTTTATCCAATAGTAGTCCTGAGTCTAGAACACTTGAGTCACAGTCCTGCCCCTTCAGGGGACAGTGCCATCCCATCCAAGATTATAAATGGAGTAGAGAGGAAACCAGATAGTTGTTGGGAAAACTGAACTGTTTTGTTAGGATTAAACTTCAGCTTTGTTTTCTCTCATATAGATTTGTCCAGCTTCCAAATACTAGGCCAAGACTTTAGCCTGGCCCAGGATGATGGTTTAATATCAACATACACAAAGTGAAGCCAATGTAGGTCTCAAGAAGCTATCTGAGGCCTCCTATCATCAGTAGAACCTCCCAACAAGACCCCTTAGTATTCATGGGCCTTATATTCATACTTCTGGTGCCCACACTGGTGAATAACTGGGACCTAGCCCAACATTCTAGTCTCTGCCCTCAGTTGTAAAGTTACAATAACTGTGCCTCCCAAAACCAGTGACCAAAGGTATTCCAAAAACCAATGCCCTTGACGTACACTTTGTCCACTGCTTCTCTAGGACATGTAGCTCTTAGCCTGCCACCTGGTTTTTCTGCCCTGAGTATCATCATCTCTGGGACGCCACTCACGGCGAGTTCATTCCAATCATCCAAAGTCTCCCTCTTTATTCTGAGGCCTCCTTCCACCTTCCTTTCTTTCCTCTTTCAATCCAAACACTGGTTTTGGGGTCTTTACCACCATCCAGAACCATCATACCCTTAATCTGCTTCCTGCAGGTCTAACTTTCCAGTTGCAACTACTCCTTCTCAGTTTCTTTCCTCTCTGCAACCATCTTCTCCCTCTTCCATTCTCTAAATCTTCATTTCTTCAGCCATGGCTGAACTGTCAGCTTCCACTTCTCCTTTTCAATTCCAGTGATCTATTGCAGCACTCTGTGGTCTCACTCACTCTCTGCTCCCCAATCCCAATCTCACTCATTTTCTACTCTTCTTCAACACATTCCTCCACCATCTTTGTAAGCCATTACCTAATTAACCCCTTTGCTCAGCTGTAAGGCTCATCTATCCATCCAAATTCATAGAATTATTTAGAAATTGTTTTTATTGAGTTATCTATAAATATATTACAATTCAGTTGCATGTTGCAAGAAATAACAATTACATTGTAATTCTTAACGCTAATTACATCTTTTAGTTGTAAGTATATTCTATCTCTCCTTCATGGATCACTGCCTTGTCGTAGTGAAGGGGCTTGCGTAGCTCAGTGAAGCCATGAGCTATACTGTGCAGGGCCACCCAAGACGGACAGGTCATGACAGAGAGTTCTGACAAAATGTGGTCCACTGGAGAAGGAAATGGCAACCCACTCCAGTATCCTTGCCAAGAAAACCCCATGGACAATGTTAAAAGGCTAAAAGATATGACGCCGGAAGAGGAGCCCCTCAGGTCGGAAGGTGTCCAATATGCTACTGGGGAACAGCGGAGGGCAATTCCAAGTAGCTTCAGAAAAACTGAAGTGTCAAACTGAAGGCCAAAGCCGAAAG